ACCCCACAATCCTAAATCCAAAGCCCTAAATACTACGTTTTCAGTGCTGAATCATCAAACCTAAGCCGTAAATCCTAAATCCTGAGCGTTGAATCCTAAATCCTAGGCCCAAGACATAGAACCCCAAATTGCGAACCCACGCCCTGAACCCTAAATCATAGTATTCACACTCGTGATTGCTACAAGACATATAAACATCCCAGGTATATACAAGCAAATGAAGCGCCTGGCCCTGAACCCTAAACCCCGAAACCCAAAAAATGTACAGTAGTTTCCATTTTCTTTTCCATTATCCCTATATAACCCCTATATAATACAGTAGTTTCCATTTTCTTTTCCATTAGTCCCTCTATAACCCCAATATAATACAGTAGTTTCCATTTTCTTTTCCATTATCCCCATATAACCCCTATATAATACAGTGGTTTCCATTTTCTTTTCCAGTCCTTAGTAAGTCTGCCTAACCCTCCAAGGGTTCCTTACACCAATTGTGACTTCTACAACACACTGTAATTTCCATTTTCTTTTCCATTCCTTAGTAGGTCTGCCTGACCCTCCAAGTGTTCCTTACACCAAGGTTTGGCAGCTGCTCCGTCGCTTTGACGCCCGGCGCTTGCCCGACGTGCGCTTTGGGCGTGAGGATGCTGAGGCCAGGGGGGTTGTGGGTTTAGGGTTCAGGGTTTAGGGTTTAGGGTTTAGGGTTTGGGGTTTAGGGTTTAGGGTTTAGAGTTCAGGGTTTGAGTTTAGGGTTTAGGGAGCCTTTAAAGGGGATATAGGGGTTCTAGGGTGGTCCATTTCAGTGGATGCGGATATAGGGGTGGTATGGAGTGGTCCCTTTGAAAAGGATATGGGGTTATAGAGTGGTCCCTTTAAACGAGATGTAGGCCTGATGGCTGGCGGGGGTTGTGCGTTTGACGTACTGGCACTTGCAAATGAACATGGCAGCTCCTATGGTATTTGGGAGGTCCAGGATTCAGGATTCAGGGGACGGAGTATAGGCATACTTGCGGGGTGGGTTGTAGAGGTTTGATGATACGTTCCCATATTGTCCTTCAAGTAGCAGTAAAGCGAGTTTAAAGGTTTGGGGTCTAGAGTTCGGGTTTTCATTGGGGTTTAGGTCGTGGTGACAAGGATGTAGAGGATGGGGCTAAGAGATTAATTATGAGTTGGGATTCAGTGTCCAAAGTTTGGGCTTGAAAGATGTTGAAAGTCTTCGTGAGGGTTTGAGGACTTTGCAATCTGCTTTTGCTGAAAGCTCCGTGGAGGGAGTAAGAGACCTTGAATCGTGGTTCAGTACTCATGGGCTTTCATGTTTGTTTGTAGGGTACGCCGCTGACTTCAGTGTGCGGTATACCCCTCAGATTCCTTCGCACGGTACCTACGCGTCACCTTCAGAATAGTCGTGGAGGCCAGCGAGTGCTTGTAGGAGAGAGCGTTCTCCCCCTAAACCCTGGCATCTGATTGCTATGATTCGTGACATCCCCCTCCAGGGAAGATCCAATTCTGTCCTGATACCCTGGGGCAGGGTATTTGTTCAGAAGGGGCCCCAATCAAGCAGGGCCTTCATGTGCGTCATAAGAATCACCATGCTACCCCTTGAGGTGTGCACTTTTGCCAGGCCTAAACCCTAAATCTAAACCGGTCAGGCCGTAGGCTCTACATGCCAAGCTCTAAGCCCTGCATCCCAGATGGTCAAATTCGTCAACATACCTTAGAACTTCCACTCGGGCCCAGCGGCCAGAACTCTCGAACTCTGAACCCTGAAGCGTACCGGAACCCTGGCCTAATATGTCACAAACACGGAGTACATAACCGTGTAAAGTTTGGTGATGTGAGGTAACTTTGAATCCTAGCCACAGACCCTGGACGTGGAAGCCTTCCCTTGTTACTACTATTCCCATTATTGCTATCTTTTAGTGCTGTTATTACTCTTATGACTGTTAGTCCTATTATTACATTTACTTTTGGCATTATGACTACTACTGTTGATAGTAAAATCCTGCATGACCTTAGTATACTATAGTACCATTATTCCCAAGGTTTAGGGCACTTAGGGTCATGCAGGATTTTTAGTATCCACCTAAATTATCATTATCACCAGATCTCCGCATCTCCCATCCTTCAGGGCGCTCGGCAGAAGCTACTCGAGGGTCTTGGTGTCCGGACCTTGGCATTAAACCCTAAATTCCTTTGAAGATTATCGTAGGTTGGTGTAGCACGCCACCATCATATGGTAAGCTCAGGGTCCAGCGTTTAGGGCATGGGTTAGGTCGACCCCCCCACCCTGTAATAGTGAATATAAGAGGACCTTAATATCATCAACATTATGCCTTGTAGTCACTATTACTTGGCTGGGGGGTCCACGTAAGGCATTGTGTTTCAGGTTGAGCGTTTTCACCTACCTTGCCTGACGACATCTGCCGACATTCTATTCAGCCTGCTCATGGAAAGCGCCTTGATAAGAAGGGTCTAACAAGGGCCTGCGCCCTATCCTTACACAGGCTCAATCCGAAACAGACCCCTGAAAAACCATTTAATGGCGAACCCTGAGCCCTCAACCCCAAATCCTAAGCAGCCCTAAGTCCTAAACCCCTGAGCCCCAAATCCTAAACAGCCCTAAACCCTAAAGCTTGAACCCCTACATCCTAAGCAGCCCCGCTTGCGGAGGTCCTGGAGAGTCGGGCTGCCGACAGGCTCGGAGACACATGAAGGCATTTAACATATTGGGCAAAGTATTTTTTGCCGGAATGTTTCGTGTTCAGCAATGTAATTTTATTCCTCAGGAGAAGAATTTACCCAAAGTGTGTATTCCGTCGATCGATTTTTTGCCATTGCTACTGCTGCTGCCGCTGCCGCCAGCGGCGCCAGTGGGGCATCATGGAGCCATAGCTGTTTTGATGACGCAAGGAGTAGAAGCCGTAGCGCTATGCTTGTTTGTGGCAGTGCTGGCGGCGGTGGTGGTGGTGGTGGTGGTGGTGGTGGTGGTTTGCTGGCAGGAAATCATATAGTCCCCTTAGGTAGATAGAATATGGGTTTGGGTATGTTATAATAGTAAAATCCCCATCTACCCCATATTCTATCTACCTAAGGGGGACCATAGCCACACAAATCTGTTACGCTCTTCTTACCCTCAAGGTCCTTTACAGCCCAGTTCTCTCCAGCCTTGTTCGGACCCTGAGGGCTGCAGAGTTCAACCTAGAAGAAGCGGCCGCGCTTGGCCCTTGGTGGGGTAATTTTGGGATTATATTGGGATAATGGAAGATAAAATGGAAACTACTATAATGGAGTTATATAAGGTTTAGGGTTTAGGCCCATCTCTTTGTGGGGGAGAGGGTTTAGGCTTATGCGGGAGTTTCGCAGAATGATCCCTGCTTGCAGTACTCCCTGCGAATATCTCGAGAGTTCCTGAAATGCACCTTTTTCAAGAAGTGCCATTCAAGGGTTCACAGTGTAGGGTTCGGGTTAGCATTTCAAGGAGAAGTTTAGCCACAGATGTCTTGAGCCAAAGGTTCAGGGCTTGGGGATGAGTGTTTGGAGTTTAGTGTTCAGGGCTTGGGGCGAGGGATTTGGATTGCCAGTTACAAATTGGGCGTTGACAGGGCCTCATCATCATCATCATCATCATCATCATCATGTAGACTCATGATTAATGAGCCGCCTCCCCTTAATAGGGATTATCATGGGGATCCTAAAGGAGGGGGTTTATGAATCCCTGGTCTACATTAAAGCAATAGTTCAGAGATCTTGATATCACCCATGTCTAGTGGGTCCTTTGTAAACCGTCTGCAAGAGCTAGTAATCTCTGCAGAGCAAGTAGCCATCCGCGATGGAACCTCTGGACCGCGGGTTCCCAACACGTTGGCTTAAATGAGAATTTGAATAATAGTAGTATAGTCCCCCTTAAGTAGATAGAATAAGGCTTTGGGTATATTAAAATATGATCCCCATATACCCCATATTCTGTCTACTTAAGGGAGACTATTATGCTTTCGTAGGAGAATGGGTCCTGAGTAAAGCTTACACCCCCAAAACTACTGTTGATGGAGGAAATCTTGCACCACTTAGAGCCCCTAAAGTACTGTAACTCCTAGGACTGTCGGGACTCAAGGTGGTGTAGGATTTCATCCATCAACAGTATAGCTACTATGACATTTGATTT